TTTAGTCTGTGAAGTGTGGTGACGAAATATATAATATCTAGTACTTTAATTTAGTATGTGAACAGATTAAACATAGTAAATTATGTAGTAGGTAGGTTACAAATAATTGTAATTCTTGGAACTTTAAACCTGGTCAGTAGAGCAAGCGAAAGTACGTGTATATAGTACATTCACGACCACGTTGCTTTTTTCATATTGCTATTTAAGCAAGCAAAATTTCGTGTCCGCAATATAAAATCAAATCAAAATAATTATACTTGACACAGTAGGCCTAAAATGGTACATTTTCGATTTACATGCAAATAAATAAGAATGTCCAGTCCATGGACTGGACTGGGCATATCATGAGATCGAAGAGGAAGAAGTGGACAAAAGATAACATGGAGTGGTACCCCCGAGATGGTAAACGTAGAAGAGGTAGACAACACAAAAGATGGAAAGACGATCTACCCAAGAGTTAGCGACGAGCAGCCACAGATAAGAACCAATGGGCCAATTTGGAGGAGGTCTATGTCCAAGGACAACCTGATTGTACACGTGCCGATGTCAGCGATTAAACTAAAAGTTTTAATTTTAAGTTAATTTTAACATTTACAACAGAGAATAAAGGCTATTTTCTTTTTTTATTTTATTTATTAAATAAGAATATCATACACAACCAGAAGACGGGGGAACAAATAAAAAAAGAGAAAAAGTAAAAAAGGTCAATAATTGAAACTTGGCAGAAGTAAAAAAAAACATGTTCATAATTAACATATACAATGTACTTTTATCCAATCACAATATATTTTGTCTATTTTAAATGTGCATTCATACCAATTTTGTTTTAATGTTATAAAGTTACTTTGTTAGCAATGTTAATGTCGTGCAGTCGTACATTTCAAAAATTCAAACCTCTGTGGTTTTAAGACGCGATTGATCACAACAATAATTATATTGAAAAAAATTTTTTTCTAGTAAACTTTTCTTTAGATTTAAACATCTAGCAGTTATCTGCTTAAAAAATAAATAAAATCATCACAATAATTATATTTCTTTGAAACTGGTAATAATTATAATAATAAAAAATTGCCTGCCTGCGCTTAATTGAATCTAAGCTCAGTATTGTGACAGCTCAAGGAGCTGACGCTGGTTTGCGATTTATTCACCGTTAATCGTAGTATTTTGACTCATCATCATCAACGGCCCATCTCAGTCCACTGATGGACATAGGCCTCTCCAAATGCACGCCACTCAGATCGATCTTGGGCTACTCGCATCCAGCTCCTGCCAGCCGCCTTGCGCAAATCGTCACTCCCCCGTACCTGAGGACGTCCTATACTACGTTTGCCTAGACGCGGTCTCCACTCTACAACTCGTCTACCCCAATGGTTATCACTTCTTCGGCAACTATGCCCAGCCCACTGCCACTTCAACTTGCTAATCCGGTGGGCTATGTCGATAACATTAGTTCTCTGTCGGATTACCTCATTTCTGATGCGATTCTTCAGAGAAACGTCGAGCATAGCCCTAATATTTAATCGAATTCGAAAACTAAAATTATAGTAGGACAAGTTACGATAAGTATTCTACAATAACAACCGGTAGTGCGGAGTCACCATTCCGGTTTGATGACGCAACTCGGAGAATTTCATGTGACATAGTGAATACGCCAAAACAAGAATGAGCAAAGGTTGATATTCTTATTGGCGAACCGCACTCAAGCGAAAGGTACTCGATGGCGAATGGCCAGTCATTATGATGGGTGACCGAAATTTATATATTCTAGCTCCTCCATGCTTCGCAAGGTACCTTAAGCCGTAAAATGTGACTTAATAAATACTAACTAAAAACTTAAAGCAGCCGCTGCACTCCCATTTTTTCCTTCGCTTAATAATCTAGTAAGGAGACAGACTACCAAAAGTTTCTACTTAAAAAAAATCCGCACTCTATGCTGCAAGCTTTAAGGTTGATTTTGGTCTGCCGAACGAATGAGACGGGACGTGCACTCACACCATTCGTATCGAATGTCAAAATGTCAAAAAATTTACAATTCTAATAACGCTTTATGAGTGCAACGTCAGGTTTGTATTAATAATATTGACTTTTTTTTTATAGATAAGTCCGACAAATGACTCCACCCCACCTGATGTTGAGTGAAGGTGAAGTCCAGTAATTTACACACACAATATAACTTATCAACATGAGAGCCGACCTAGTAATATGAATATGATTATCAATAATAATCAAAACAGTACATTCGTTAAATGTCATTGTAAAACACATTATTTATGCAACCAAAACCTCAAGTCCTAAATAAAACTAGTTGTTAATGCATGAACTTTATTTATTTATTGACGTTTCGCCGCCTTTTCAGGTCTGCATTATTCTGACGATGTAGCCCTGAAAAGGCGGCGAATAATGAGTGATGTGCGTGTAAACCTGAGAAACAAATATCTCAAGTCGTAAGTTCAGCATTTATGGCCGTTGTCGAACCAATATGTGCAATTAATATAACTTTAAAACATAGTTATTAATAATTGAAAATATTTCCGGCTCTCCTACTCTTCAAGCGTCGTTCTAAGGTTATGGAAGACAGCTTAAGAGCCCTTTCACATTTTTTGCAAAAAATCGTAACATTTAAGCGCCACGTTTACCCCCTTAGAAAAGAATTTGACTATTTCCAATAGAAGTAAACAGTAGATTTATTCTTCCTATTGCAAGTTAATGTAGAATATTTGCAAATACCATTTTCCTTTTTTTTGTACTGATCGTTCTACTGCAGCTAGTTTACGGAAAAAACGATAATATGCACAATTTCAAACGTCTCAATCTCTCAATAATGTTCAAAAAATTACATCAAATTAATTACTACGACATCAGAAAATTGTTTTTGTTGTAACATAATGTATTAGAATTTTGATTTTTCAATTCAATAATTATCAAAACAAACATCTAACCTCCGTGAGTTTTCCCAAAAAATAATGTAGGTTTACCTCGTATTTTGATATTGAATTAAATAGAATTACTATCAAAAACTTTCATTAAACTAATCTACCATCATTGAAGTACTGAAATATGTATATATATTTATAATTACTTCATTAATAATTATTTTATAAGACTCGAAACATCACCCGTAAAATGCAATATATACTAGTGCAAATCTACCTAAGCGTCGATCAGTACGGCAGCGGCGCAATTTTGTAAAAGGACTCTTAAGTCCACCCGATTCCAAAAAAAGGCGACTGCTCTAAGTATACTATGACAATTATTTTATCCTCATTATTAGCTTTACCCACTGCTGGAGTACAATCCTTTATTTGGACAGAATTGGTAAGAGGTCATGACCAATAATCTACCATCCAAGTCCAGTGCAGAAGCGTAGGCACTAACAACTACAAATGCTACTGGGATCAAAGGATTAACGTCACCATTATCATCAGCCTATCATTGTCCCCACTGCTGAGGCACAGGCCTTCCCTATGGATGGAATACTGAGATGGGGCCGTGGCCCACCATGTGGACCCAGTGCGAATTGCAGTTGCAGCCGGGATCAACTTCTTAACGTGCTTCCAAAGTATTAAGTAACAAGAGATAATACATTTTTGGTCGCCCATCCTATGACCGTCCTCTGTGAAGGTTACTTAACTTCCAAAATTGCAAACCGAACGCGGTAACTGCTACACAATTGTCTTCGATCATACTTTATACTAATTGTATTTGTTTTTTTTTTAAATCTACGTAGAAATCTGACTAAGTAAGTGCAATGACCTCCTAATTCCGATGTATTTTAATTAACAAACAAAACATCAAAAGCTGTAGCTGTGCGACTTCACCAAGTGTTGCCAATGAAATATGAACCTTAACCTAAAACAGAAAAGATCTATAGTATAATGTGGATGATAATAACGATCTCTTTCTTCATGCTTTGTTTACAGTTTCATAGACATGGTTCTGATTTTTGCGCATTGAGTTATTTTCTTAGGTACTGAGTATTTTCTTTTTTTTTTTCAATATAATAAAAAGATAAGTTTGTAAAAAACATGAGATGAGACCAAAAATAAGCCTTTTATTCGTATTGCATCATACGCAATTAGAAATGTGTCAAAATATTCCATTTCAATACTATGACTGCTACATTTTTAAATAAATTAAAATATCAACAACATCATCAGTGTTTGGGCACAGAAATAATTAAAAAAAAAGAAGGAAATACATAAACAGTCGTATTTTAAGTGTAAGTGAAGTCCAGTTTGCTAAAATTCCAGATGCGGCAGGAGAGTGCCGCTCCAGCCACCCGTAACTGGCTAACTTAAACGCCCTAACGAGGGTTTTCTGGAATGGCGGGCACCAGATCTGCCGTCCTCAAGCTAAAATGCGGCTAAATGACAATACCTTTTGAGATATGGCCAAAAAACTGCGCGTAAACTTTAAGTTATTGCTAATTTGTAACCATTCATCACATGACGGATTATAGACTTAAACTATAAAGGATACAAATGCTTGTTAAAGACAGATCGATAGTGAATTAATAATTGTAAAAGATGAAATTTAAGACTGAAAAATCGACCACATGCCACTCAGCCGCACTTTAGTTTGAGTACTGCAGAGATGGCAGCACTGAGACAAAAGGTCACTCATCCGCCAAATCACATATGTCGTCATTGTCTATAGAAAAATTTAAATGCTTGTTTATGTGAAACTGCAAGGCCGTAAAAATTATACATAAAAAAATGCTTGTTAAATTAATTCGCGCCAAAAACTTCAGACAAAAGACCTCATGTCACATTGGCGCCAACTGGTCACAAAAACATTTCCTAAACACCCACATTCCTCTAACTTGCGAAACCATGTTTTCATACTCACCAACAGAAATACAACACTAGCAAAAGCTACTGTGTACTTCTCAAGGCGGACGCTCCATTTCGTGCGGAACTCCCCGATGCCCTACCTCTCTTAATCAAACACATATTTTACTACTTATACAGTAAATTATTCAACTATCATGCAATACTCACTTCTTGCGTCAGCTCGTCGCCAGTATGATGGTCCTCATCGACCTCAGACTTGATATCCTTCACCGAAGCCGAATCCATATCACTGACACCGCTAGAACTGGCGGACGTAAAACTAGTGCTTGCTCTTTCTCTCTTCACGTCCAAAACCAGTTCCTCTTCAAATATGGGCGCCAACTCATAAACTTCGGGATCTATCTCTAAAGGAGTGTTTTCCAAAAGGTATTGCTCCAAGTCTTCCTGCTGCTGCTTCATGTCTAAGAACTCCAATTCACTCCTGAGCTCTTTGACATCGTCAAACAGCTCCTCATAGTCTTGCAAGTCAGCCAAGTTTTGATTGAACACCGAATTCGATTCTCCAATTTCGAATTTCTCTGCTTTTGCTGTGAAATAAGGCACGTAGTCGTCGATGGCGTTGTCGCTGTACAAATCCTCGGTGTGTTGCTCCTTTTTAACTGTGACCTCGTTGAAACCCTCATCCTGGGGTTCCTTCTTGATCTGCATATCATTCGGTTCAACAAGGAATTCGTTTACATCGAAAGACCTTGAAGCTATCTCGGCGAATATGTCGGATTCCGTGTGGTTGTTCAGGAAGTCAGCTGACAGTGTCACCACTGCGTCCGGTTGAGGAGAACCAATGCTCTCTTGCTGGGATTCCTCCTCGTCTATCACTTTAACCTCTTGCGCGACATTTTCGTCAGCCGAAACGCCATCCTGCTCGGTGTTATCAACCGCCGGGACTGCCAGCGCCGGTGCGACTGTGTCAGTCGCCACATTATTCAGTAAATATGTATGAAGTATAGGTCCCCTGCTGTGCCATATCCGTTCATTGTTTTCTACACGTGGGTTTGCGTAGCGTCCTAAAGAGTTCAACTCTTCAAAGAGTTCTCTCTCGTAGTTTATGAGGATGTTGTCCAGGGATTTGGGGTGGACGAACCTAGGTCTTATAAGCGTTCTAGCTTCCTGTTCTAATGACCAATCGGAGCCGTTGGATATGTGAAGGCCCGCGATCAGTTGTTGAGTCTCTCCCTCCAAATAGTCGTTAGGATTCGCTTTAAGCAAGCTCAAGACTAGTGCGAGTCGCAACAGCTCGTCCCCATAGAGTTTCTTCAAAGCGATCATTGTTATTTTTTTTATTTCAATAGAAAGCGTGTGTGTACAGTCTAGGCGTTGCGATTCAGTCTCTTTTGTTTTTGATAAACTTATTTATTACGTTGAGCACTATAAAATACTGTGAGATCAATAAATATGCACCCTTTAAGAAGGTTTTAAGCACTTAGCTATGATATTTGAGTCCTTGCGCATTTAAATTTAAATGTGACCTCTTCGTCTATCCTTCTTTTTCGTTTTACGGGTGACATCTTGATAAAATGTCACTTGTACACGACGCGCTGGTACACATTTGCCGAAATCCAAAACATTTTTAGAAACATATTTTCACTGATTCACTTTAATATGAAGTACTTTGAAAGAGTTTTTTTTTTCTGGTCGAAAGCCAAAATTTTCACAACACTGTATTATATCTGAAACGAGACAAAGACTTGTGACCTTGAACGTTGCGGCAGACGTAACTTTTTTTTCTATAAAAAGTTTTTTTTTTCTACTGTCCGAATAAAACCTTGTTACTTAACGAAAGAGTCCGAATGTTATGCACTAAATAAAGTAAGTAGTTTCCAATATATTCAAGCGATTACAATTCAATGGAGCTATTGTAATTTAAAAGTTGTCAATAGTTTGTTTAATGTCAAAGAATATTATTAACCTTTGACACACCACACATTAGGAATATGCCTGCATTTACAAATTGTACGATAGTGATAAAAACCGTTAACCGTAAACAGCAAAAACTGCATAACATAACTTTTCTTCGTAATAAAAAAAATGCAGTAGATCTTATTCCATAAGCAGTTAAATTGACAGCTGTACGCAGCCACAACACTTTTGCACCAAAACCGTTAACCGTTCCTTTCTACAGAAAATTTGAATTACGAACACCACGATTACCGAAATGTGAAATTCGCGATCACAATCTCCTTTGTTTACGTTCGAACGCGGGTGATTTGAATTTACTTTTTTTATCAGACTGCGGCTGCACAGATAGCGGTATCACCGTGTCGGGAACGTTTAGTGGAACTTTTATGAAACGTTTGAATTTCGAACTGAAAAAGGTATTTAAAGCGTCTGCTGTCACGTCTTTGTTCAGTTTCAGCGGGGGCGCGCGTGCGTCCCGACGGACGCATCAAAACAAACTAAGAAACTGCGAAGTTCTGCGCCTCGTGTTTTGCGATGCACGCGAACGTTGACCGAGTCAGACGCGCTGCCTTGTTTTTCATTTTTCCAGATAAGGGCTGTCATTCGCTAGTTTTTCTCGAGCGTGGTTTTATTTAAAGATACCCTTGCTTGCCAATTTGTTGCTACACCACCCTACCTGAAGTCGAAAACTCAAAAGATCTATTTTTATTAGAATTCAATCAATGTTTATTGTGTTCCATATTTGAAGTAACCATCTGGTTTTCAACCGACTTCCAAAAAAGGAGGAAACAGGTTCTCAATTCGACTGTATTTTTTTATTTTGGTTACCTCTTTAAACTTTCGACTGGGTGAATTGAATTTGATGATTCTTTGTTTAAAAGAATTTGTTATCGAGATGGTCCCATATAGATTTGATAAATACTTTCGGAGATAAACAACAGAACTCCTCACATACGAACGGTACAAATATCGTGTTTGGTTATTTTACGAAATATGAAAAAGAGATCGCAGGTACGACATCTAAGTATATTTAGTAAGTTGATGATGCTCTGACTTATAAAACGAATTTTTAATAAATGAAAATCACTAAAATGTAAGAAATAATGCATATTATTTACTTAAATCTTCATTTAAAGTCATATTAACATTTGGAGTCGGTGCCATGCCAACCCAAACAGTAAATAAATAAATAAATATTTCCAACACTCACATCAATTAGCCTCGCCCCAAAGGAAAGTAAGCACTGTAAGGCTTGTGTTATGGGATGCTAGGGTAACGGATAGCATACATATATAAGTATATTTATATAGAAATACATATTAAACATCCATGACTGGAGTACAAATGCTCGTATTCATCACACAAACATCTGCCCCCACCGGGATTCGAACCCGACACCTCTAGTAATAAGTAACTACTAACGGTATGAAATATGCCATAATTATGGGATTTATGTACAAGAACATTTACTGTATATTATATTTGTATTTTTTTTTACTTTATATTATTTGTAATTTTCAAACTAAAAAGTTGCTAAAATAATATTTAAAAAAAACCTACAAAATATTTGCATTTTACAGTTTGATGTTTAATTTCTGATGTCAGCATCTGTAAGACTTAATGTTCCTACTTTCATTCCCTTTAATAAAATAATTCCAATACTACATATTTATAAAACATGATAAGAAAAGTATTCAATCATTTTCGTTGCCAAATGTCTAATGATTTTATAATTATACATAACATGTCGTAGTGTGGTTTCATGAATTGTATTTTCGTGAAAATCCTTTGAATTTTACGAAAAGATAGATAATCAGACAATGGCTATAACGTTTCTCAATCTTATTGAAGAAAGATAGGATTTTTGCGAAAACGCGTGTCGCCCCAGTAAGACTGCGAAAGGACAGTTGGTTTATTATAATATAGACTTAGGTTTTTGGGTTCTCACTATGTTAGGTTAGTGTTGTATAAAAAAAATTCGTTACCAGAAAGAGATGTCATCCGTCGCCATTGTCTAATTATCCATGTTTTCGCAAAATCCCAAGGACTTTGGCGAAAACTCGATTTATCAAATCTTCCTACGACATAAAGTTATAATATAATAAATAATTTGATTTTTTTTGTTTTTTCCTAAATGGCTCCGCACGGCTTGTGCATTTAGCCAATGTCAAGTATTAAAAATGTTTAAAAATTCTATAGCACTCGTGGTCAAAGTAATAAATCAAGTCAAAGTAAGTGGCATTCAAGTTAATCCCCCTTTCCCTATGTTTCAGTAAATGTGTGGGGATTTACTGGAACCTCCCCGTGGACTTCTTGAGGGAACGTCGAAAGACACTTTCCGCTATTTTGTTTCACTTGCCAACACTTGTGCATGTTCCCGAACACTTAGTGGTTAATAATCCACCATTATTAGTAGAGAGAGATGCGCCGAATGTGGGTTCAACCTAATACGAATGTTCGGCAGAATATTCGGTTCAAAATGTTTTTAACAAGAAAAACAACACTGCTAACGTGACGCTTTCCGATCCCACCAAAAATTCCAAATAATATGATTAAATGCAGGTAAAAGTCTGTTTATATAAAGTATACGAACAGTGGTTGCAAAGTACTTCCTCAGGTAACATTTGAAAACCACGGAGGTTTTATGTTTCTTAAATGTTCAGCCCTAAGTGCTATAAGTAGTTACTAATTACATCTGTATTTCCACATATTGGGAGTTGACAGTTGCACTAGCACCAGTGGTTGGCGCGTTCGATATGCGATCACAAAAGTTAAGCCACTTTTGCATTGGTCGGCCACTGGATGGGTGACCAAGACAAGAATATACTATTTCTAGTTCTCCCATGCTTTGATAGATAGATAGATAGAAAATGCGTTTATTTTTTTCTTCAACATACATATACATTTACAGACAGAGTAATACAATAAAAAAAAGATACAAGAAATCAGCTATGAAATATCTATATGTATGCTGCAGAAAGCAAAAGGCCAAGGCTCGGCTAAACATTTGCCAGTTTTAAGGCAAAATACCGATTTTCAGCCATCACCTTTATGAGTGAGTAGACTAGCTTTATTAATAATAAATATTAAAAGATTTTGCAAGGAGAAAAGAGAAAACAGCCATGATAATGCAGTGGAGAAAAACACATATTTACTACAATATAGAGACAAATAATGAAGTGATTGTTGGCGAGATAAAATTAGATGATATCATACATATATATAATAACTATAATTACACATGATTTATTTAAAGTATATACAAAAGTAGTATCCGGAAACTGTTTGGAAAACAAGGCTACCTGCCCTGCCACACATAAAACTTGGGGATGTCTAATTTTTGGATTTCTAAAAAGTATATTTTTATCTGCTTTTTAAAAGTGACTTTGGAAGCCAGTTTTCTCATAGGTGGAGGCAAATCATTCCAACATTTGGTAGCCTGGAAGCGGAAGCTGCCACGGAAAGGCGCAGTTCTGTGAATAGTGCTCTCCAGAGGCTTACGGGTAACTCGGGCATTCTCTTGGTATGACGAGAATTTAAGTTTATTGAATAAGTATTCCGGAGTTTTATACATTATTATGTCAAACACAAGAGACGCGAGGTGCACCTGCCTGCGAGATTCCATGATAGGTGCGTGAAGCCGTCAGTTACATCTACAGTCGTTAGCACCCACCGATCGGTATTGAGCTTGCGTGGTACGTCAATTACTCTATTCCGTCCATAGAGTAAGCCTGTGCCCGCAGTGTGGACATTAATATAGGTACTGATAACAACTGTTCCACTTATTCTGAACATCAAAGCACTAATATAGAATTATTTTATCTGTGCTTCAGGTCAACCCGTAATCACACCAGTCAGTCTTATTGCAACAGATGTACATTTCTAATAGAGATGGGCCGACTAGTCGGGAAAGACGACTATTCGGCATCGTTTATAGTCGGCGTCTATTCGGCATAACATGCCGATTATAATCGGCACATAACAATGAAATAAAACTCAAAACTTATGCTTGTTTTGAATATTTAACCAATAACTAGAGTATGTATTTAAAGTTACCTAAAGCCTTAAAATATAAAAAAGGTAACTTAATAAGAATTAGGAACTTACGAATCTGTCAGTAACTTAACACAATGAATATCGCACATAACAAAATAGTAATGTAATAATTGAGTAAAATGTTAATTGCTAGCAAGTCTTAAAGAAGTCCATAGGTTTTCTTTTTCTTTAGAGGCAAATTGTGATGTTGGAACGTGAATATTTCGGGTTGATTTGGGAGACTCGTGTCATGCGTGAGCAAGCCGAGTAGTGACGAAATATTCTGAATACCTTCCTGAGATAAGTATTAGAATAGATCCGCATTGCAGAATAGTCGTCCGGCGAGTCGGCAATTCGAAAACCAATAAGTCGGCTAGTCGATTAGTCCGCAAATACTATAGCCGTCCCATCACTAATTTCTAATATCAATTATCATTAACGTTATCGATATAATGATTCATTTAAAGATAAAGTTTGTACTTTAATAACGATTACGTATTAATTGAGATAGATAAAGACTATAATATACTATTCAATGATGGCGTGGAGTAAGGAGAATTTATAAAAAACCTTCATTTTTTTTCTTTGACATCGATTTTGCGTTCAAAATTACTTCCGAATAAGCAAAACCAGTGTCTAATCGGTGCAGTAAGTAGATCACCACAACAAACCGTCAGCTTACATTATGTCAGTGACATCTGTCGACATGGTGAAATAAGACCCAGGCCATTGAGGTGAAACATTAAGAACCTAGTTACCTACATACTTGTTTCTCTCTATAAGATTACTTTGTTATATATGTATTAGTAATACAATGTTTTTATTTTAATTTCCATATGCAGTAGCTACGGCTGTATAAATAAACAACACATTCTTCAAGTGTTAAAGCAAAAAGTTTATAGCATTAGTCCCCGCAAACTCCGTTAGTCGCTAACCAAATTTGGTGCGAACAGTGAATCACGAGCGAACTTAGAATCGATACTTGCCCGCATCCATGTTTGATGGCTGTAAGGACGTTCCCTTGGCCTTAAAAGCAAATAAATAAAACAAACGAGAAACCGCAGACTAGAAAACAAATAATAAAATTAATAATCTACAGCCTTATTCTAACTTTGTCATATAATATTGTCGTAATTATTATCTTTCGCAATCTTTGTAATTTACCTTGTTCTTCAATGCAAGACCACAATAAAATTAAAGTTGATTTTCGATATAATTGTATTCGTCATCCATCCTCACCACCATGCCGACACTTCACGTGACTATAGAGTATTGACTAACTTGACAATAGTCTCTCCTTTTCACTCCCTAAGAGTATGAAAGGGCAATTTGCTGTCAAAATGACAAATAGCCATGTGAAGTTGCAAGCATAACTTATGATTTTTTTTAATCTCGTATAACACGAAAACAGTGCGAAATTAACGATACATCCAGAGACTGACGCTACATTGAGCAAAAAATAAACTGTTCCTCAAATTTTATAATATATCTTTAAGATGTGGATATTATTAAAATGTTATATTATTTATAATATAATATACTACAGTCTATATAAGCCGTGATATAATTAGAAAGCGTTTAATGCCAGGGAAAGTCAGATTTGTGCGTAAAATCTATTGTAGTTAGCGAAAGTTATGCATGTTATACTGTTGTGTACGAGTCCGTAGAATTCGTGCCAATTTCGGTTGCTAACTTTTTAAAGGCAAACTATGTCATACACTACACAGCCTAAAATTGGATACTTAAAAATATTGTTTTCTTTTTAATTTCTAAAATTAAAAAAGTTAATTCTTTTTAATTCAAAGTGTGCGGTCCACTATGTTGCTTTAATGTCATGTTTAAAAAGGTGGCTTGTGCGCTTAGTTATTTATAGCTTAGTATATGAATAAACCAGACCAAAGTTGAACAAAATATTTATCTTGAAGTAGAAATGTAATCCACAACCTTCGGCTTATACTATAGAAGCTAGCAAGGTTGCGAAAATTGAAGGGCAGAGAGTTATTACGCCTTCAGTTAAGAGATGGCAC